AGGGGAGATTCAGGCTGGACATGAGGAAGTATTACTGTTCAGAAAGGGTGGTCAGGCACTGCAATGGATGCCCAGGGAGGTGGTGGAGTCACCGAGCCTGGGGGTGTCCAAGGAAAGGCTGGATGTTGTGTTGAGGGACGTGGTTCAGTGGGAGCTGTGGGGAATGGGGGAACGGTTGGACTGGATGAGCTTGGAGGTCTTTTCCAACCTTGGTGATTCTATGATTCTATGAGTTGGGAAGGCCGGTGCTCGTCCCTGTGGGCAGGAGGTATCACAGAGCATCCATCCACGTCCACTGCGTGGGGCTGCATCCGCAGAGCGGTGCTGAGCTCCAAGTGTGCAGTGGAGGCTGTGCCTGCTCTTCCCAGGAGGCTGTCAGTCAGCTGCCTAATAAATCTCGTGGAAAGCAGCGGAGCCACGGGGCTCCCTGGAGCTACAGAAGGAAATGATTTAATTGCCTCTTTAATAGAGAAAGGAGTTGCCTGCGTGCTGCGACTGGATGCTTTGAATAGGCTGATTTGTACTGGGAAAGATTCTTGGGATTCAAGTGCATTGCCAGAGGCTCTGGAGAGGCTCACGGAGCATCGATTTGTTTTGACGTGTCACAGAGGTGTTAATTGAGCGTGAGAGCCAGGAAAATAGCGAAGCCTCCCTGAGAGTGAATGGGTCTCTCCAAGGCTCAGCAAAGCCTTCAGCAGCACTCAGAGCAGCGCTGGGCTGAGGATTTATGGAGGTTTCAGAAGCCATCCTGCTCCTTCCAGGCTGAGCGGGGAAAGCTTTTGTTTTCCTTGGCAAAGCGATGAACCCAACAGCGCAAAACAAAGATGCTGAGAACATGACAAATGCTTTCGTGGCATCGCTGTGGTTTATTTTCTGCATCTTGGAGTTGTTGAAGGATGTCGGTCTCCAAACGTTGCAGACTTGAAACCCTCTGTGCTGAGATGTCCCCTCTGCTGCCTGGGCAGGGCTCAGATCTTCCCAAAGTGTCTTTGTTCCCCCCAAAGTCGGAGCCTTCCTGGCACAGAGGGAAGTTCCTCACCCTGGGACCCTGGGCTGGACGAATTCCTGCTCTGTCTTTTAGGTGTAAATGCATTCAGTGCAAGGTGTGAAGGGTCCGACCCCACCACATGCAGCCCATAGGCTCCCATTCCCATGCAACCCTTGCAATCTCCTGTTTTCCCCCAGCTTCAGGACCGCTGCCTTCAGCACGCCACGTTTCGCATGCATGCAAAGCCACAGACCGTTCCTGCAAAGGTTCTTCTATCCTGGGCTTTTGTATTTCTGGCTCTGTGCAGTGACTGAGCGTGGGGCAGCCGAAGCCATGGCTGCTGAGCTGTGTCCCTCAGTGAGGTTTGTGCTCTGGCTCCTTTACTTCGCAGCTGATGCAGAAATGTGCTATCAGATGACTCAGGCTGTCGGTGGGAGCAGTCCTTCTCCAGGGCCTTTTTCCCCTCTGCCAAGTCTGGAGGAATTGCAAGTGTGGGTTTTGCAACGGCGAGTTGGCAGGAGAAAAAGGAAAGTGACAAAGCATGAGAAAATACTTCAGCAAAACGCTGCCTGTCAGAGGGGTCACGGGGGGGGGGGGCCGGGCTCAGAAGTGACTGTGGTGACACTGAGCCCAAAGGAGGGTCCTTTGCTTTTAAGGAGGAGGAAAAGGAGCAGATGCTGTGTGTGCTTCCCAGTAGAACAGGTGAATCCAGCACCCCCAGCGGAGGTCCCAGCTCTGACCTGTGCCTTCACACGGCTTCCTTCCAGCTGGGTTATATTTGAGGAGCACCGAACCCCTCCTGAAGCGCTTCGTGCAGACGTTGCGCTCCCTGCAGATGCCTTCAGCCCCCCCCCAGCCCCTCTCAGCCTTCCTGCTGCTCCCTCTGAGCACCGCTGGGCTTCACATTGCACCTGCAGCAGCACAGGGCCGTGCAGTGGAAGGATGCTTCCATGGCGTCGGTTGCACGCAGGTGAGCCGTCGGTGCTGCTGTGACTCAGCCCAGGGGTGAGACAGGGAGCGGTGGGGCGGGCAGCCTCCGGTCAGCCTTGCCACATCCTCCCTGCCCATATCTGTGGGATCCATCCCAGCCCCGTCCCAAATAACAGGGATCTGTTGCAGCCCTGTCCCAAATAACTCAATGCTTAGTAGGAGGCAGCGGCGCGGAGCTGGGAGGCAGCGGCGCTTGGCCACCTGGTGCTCCTCTCCCTGCTCGTGTCTCCACAGCTGAGCTTTTCCCACGTCTTCTGAGCTCAGCTGTGCGCTGCTTCTTCCACCTGGTGTCACCTGGCTGCATCCCAGGGGGGAGAGCCGCCGAGTGCAGCCCTCTTCAAGCTGCAGAACTGTGCACAAAGCAGCAAAAAGCAGCATCGGAAACGTGACGGCTCCTGCCCTGCTGAGGGAGCTGGGCTCGTTCAGCATGGAGAAAAGAAGGCTGGGGGTGAGCTGAGTGCAGCCTGCAGTGCCTGAAGGGAGCCTGCAGCCAGGAGGGGAGGCAGCTCTGTGAAAAGGGAGATGAGAGCAGGACGAGGGGAAATGAAGCTGAAGGAGGGCAGATGGAGGTTGGATGTCAGGGAAGTTGTGTGCTGTGAGAGCGGTGAGGGGCTGAACAGCTGCCCAGAGAGGCTGCGATGCCCCGTCCATCCCTGGAGGTGTTGGAGGCTGGATGGGGCCCTGGGCAGCCTGAAATGTGGAGGTTGGTGGCCCTGCATGGCACAGGGGGGTCAGAGCTCCATGATCCTGGAGCTCCCTCCCAACCCAGCCATTCTGTGACTCTGTGAAACCTGCAGCTCAGCACGGCGCAGCTGTTTTGGAGCCGAGCCCTGGGCTCTGCTGGGACAGAACCTGCTGTCGTTTTGCTGTAACCAGCTGCAAAATGAGTTTGACCTTTCAGGTGCCTGCTTGGAAGAAGTCGGCGCTTTTACAACAAATGATTTTGCTCCTTCCAGGAGGCGAAGGCTAAATGTCACGTTTGATGAATGAGCGACCTTTCATGGGGGCGGAGGGAAACTCCTCCATGCGCTCCACCCCACACCGACGTCATTTCCATGATGGGGCTGAGTAACGTTTTCCAAGAAGTCAGAGATGGCAGCTTAGAGCTGCATCCCGTGGGGAAATGCCTGGCGTTGCTGCTGATCTCATTGCTGCCTGCTCTCCTTTAGCTGAGAGCTGGCCAGGGATGTGGGGGACCTCTGTGATGGTGATTTTGTGCCATCAGCGCCTCTTTTCCCCACCCTGGAGGTGTCAGCATCCACGTTGTGTGGCCCTGGGAAGGGCTGGCAGAGCGAGGAGCGGCACTGAGCGCTGGGGAAGCATTCAGGGATGCCTGGGGATATTTGCAGGCTGCGCTGTTTTGTGGTGCCCAAGTTTGCGCTCTGAGTTTGTGCTGCGATGAGGACAAACTTAAACCCCCCTCCCTGCTGTAAGACAGCAGAACTTCAGGAAGGCAAAGCGTCTTAAAGCCTCCTCTTGGCTCTGCCCCGGTTTGGTGTCAGCCCGGTGCCGTTGTGATGCTTCCCCTTCTGCAGGCTGAAAGAGCAAAGTGATGCCAAGCGGGAGCAAAATCCCCATCCTCAGCTCTCATCATTGGCATCGATGCCATTGACATTGAGGAGTTGTGCTCCGCTGTTGTGATGCCCCACGTTTATAGCAGCCATTTGGCTCTGCTTTGCGCCATCGCACAGCGCTGGATGCCTGATGGGCAGAATGGTGGGAAGGAGAATGATGGGGAAACATCACCGGGGTGAACGGCACGCGTCGTGCTTCCCTCGCTGTGTCCTTTCCTCCCTGTGCCCTTGCTCTGCATTCCCTGCTCCCTTAGCAACGTGTCCCCATGCAGAGCTGTGACATCTCCCAGCGCTGTGCCGTGTGGGGCAGTTCTTTGTGCCCCCGTGGGGTGCAGAGGGGGCTGTGGGGTGGGTGCTCTCCCTTGGGCCGTCTCACTGCACGCTGTGCTTCCTTGCAGGTGTCTCCATGTCTCAGCTGTGCAGCTCCTGGGACTTAGACCAGCAAAGCATGGCGTACCTCCCCGATGCAGGTAACCCCACCTGCAGGATCCTCCTCCTGTTTCTCTCTCTCTCTCCAAGCTTAGCAGATTAGAACTCTTCTCTAAAGGCTCTCAGAGGGTTGTTTGTGCTGAGCTCCCATTAAGGTGGATGTGAAACCAAGAACTGAAAGCTCCCGGAGCAGCTTTGGGCTCCAGGTGCCCCATGGCCATTCCCCCATGTGTGTGCAAGCTGTGCAGAACCACTGCACCTCAACGGGGCTGAGAGGAGCCTGGGCTGCCCTGGGATCAAGCCGTAGCAGTTGGGTACACTCCTACTGAGCCTTAAATTGAAGAGCTGTGCTCTTAGTTCTCGATTCCTTTGGGGTTTTTTAACTCGCTTTTGTTCCAGATTTCGTTGTCTGATGGTGTTTTATGCAGGAAATCCCCAGCATCAGCTGAGAGGCTCAAGAAAGCGGCGTGGAGCCAAAGAGGCAGCAGCTGTTTGTGGTGCCTCTCGAGAAAGCATTGAATGGCCTTTAAAATAAAGAAATAGTTTTAAGAAATGGGAGGGGAGGAAAGGAGGGAAAAAGGAAAGGGGAAGAAAGGGAAAAGGCAAAGAAAAAAATGGGGAAAAGGAGAAGAGAAGCAGCCAGGAAAGCAGCCGGTGCCAAGCTCCGTTGCGGCGTTCCTTTCAGCTTCACATGCTCTGCACTGGGAGCCCCATTTCCTTCCTTCCTTCTTTCTGCCCCTTTGAGGATTTGTGGAACGATGCTCATTGGATTTGTGTTTGGGATTTGTCTGACTTACGGGAGCTGCTGCAGTGCTGGCGCTGCTTCCCGTCTGCATGGGGGAAATTCTGCTCCGGCTGTGACCTCTTCCCCTGCGGTTTTGCATCTCTGCTTTGGGTGAATTTGGCTTCTTTCAAGGCTCGTTTTTTTGGAAGCCAAGCGCGAAGGAGTGGAGGAGAAAGGATCTGGGTTTGGAAGTGGGCTGTTGGGGTCTGATTGCTGAAGTGCAGCAAATGAACGTGAGCACGTTGTGCTGTGGGGGTCGGTCCTGCCCTCACCGGGCAGATCCACAAACATGTGCTATGATCCTGCTTGGTGATGGTGTCATGACGTAGAGCCAGAGGAACACAGAAGCTTTTCTTGTCACACTGAATGCAAGCAAAAAAAACCCACCAAAACCAACACCTTTATTTGCATCTGATTTGCTTCTTGTAAAGCTGTGACAGCTGCCACAAACACTGCTTTCCTCTGCCCCTCCAGAGATGGACACCATGGCTGCCAGCACATCCCTCCCCGACCCGGCCGCTGAGTTTGATCGCAACGTGCCCCGAATCTGTGGGGTGTGTGGGGACAGAGCCACCGGCTTCCACTTCAACGCCATGACCTGCGAGGGCTGCAAGGGCTTCTTCAGGTGAGCTGAGCAAAGATTCCCACCCCACACACTGACTGCTGCTGGTGCTCAGGGTGCAGCCCTGCAGGGCTTTGCGTTGCAGGCAGCCAACGTGTCCTCAATAATTCCGACCCCACAAGGTGTTTCCCCTGTATTTCCCTTCTTGTGGCTACCAGGGGCTGTCGGCCATCTGTTAGGAGCCTTGCAGACTTCACATGCTGCATAGATAGGAGCATGCCAGCCTCTAGCGTGAGCCTGGGCTGGGAAGAGCAGACCCAGAGCCGGCGGTCTGGGAGTTTGAACAGCTGTAGTTTTTGTTTGCAGCTGATTTGAGGCTTTTTTCAGCCATCAGGTGAGTGTCTCCTGGTCTGCAGCTGCTCCTAACGAAGGCAAAACCATCCGAGGGCCTGATGAGCTGGAAGTTGGTGGGTGTTTTAGTGGCTCGCTTGCCCTGACGGTGTCAAACCATTCACGTGGGAATTCAGGTCGCTTGCACCAAGTGAGAGAATGACTAAGAGAGACGAGGAGAGATAATGGCTGGCGTGGGACTGGCAGGGAGAGCCTTGCTCAAGCACTGTGTGCTGCAATGAGATGGAGGCAGTGGGCTGCAGACACCAGAGCACATCGCTGTGTGTTCAGCAGGGCTGTGACAGCAACCGGGGTGCAGGTTTGCAGAGCGAAGTCACAGCTCCTCCCCTGGCAGGAATTTTGGGGCTGGATGGAGGTTTTCACACACCGCAGCCTGGCCAACCTGAGCAACCACATTTTCCTCAATTCCTGCTGCTCAGTGAGTGACTCTGCTTTCAGGTGCTGCCCTTCACGCTCTGGTTTGGTGGCCCCAAGCTTCCCTGTCCCCTCCGTGCCTGCGGTGGCCGTGGGGTGGATGGGGCTGATCCTGAACTGGCTGCAGAGCAGCTGCTATCGCTGTCAGCCCTCCTCTGCACTCTGCTGCTTCCCCATCTCTGCTGGTGCAATCATGTGCAGCACGACACGCAGCTGCAGCAGCATTTCTGAGCAGATGTTTTAATGGTGTGAAAAGCACTCATCGTCAGCTAGCCCTTCATGCCCCCTATAAGGCCTTGATTTTCAATTTAAGGCTCTACTTTTCCTTCATCTTGCTTTCCAGGCACGCCATCCCCATACTGGGTCTTGGTGTGTTCTTTCTTGCCCAACCAGGCTTGTTTACAAGCTATTTAGAACCGGTGAATTGAGTAATCCTTGTTGCTACCACAATGTGCAGGTGCTTTCTGCCTGAAAACACCACAGCACTGCTATGGGGGAAGCTGGACCCCTTAAAACTCACCCAGAAAATCTACGCATCCCTTTGCACAGACCACAAACACTTTGTTCCTATGTGCACTTGCTGGTTTTAGCTCCCTGAGCAGGTTTTTGAAGAGCCAATGCACAGATACCAATTCCTGGTGGCTGCCTTGCAAGTCAGAATTGAGCCTGGAAGGAACAGAGGAGGTGAGGGGATTCCAGGCTGCAGTGGCAAAACCTGGGGTGAAGGAACTTCCCGGTCGGTCCCAGCTGCTTTGGGTCGTATCTGTGTGGACGATTCCCCAGCATGAAATCAGGACCTGGGTTTCATGGCTTTATAAAAGGCGTTAGGAATTTACTGGCACCTCTGGGTGCTCAAACGTGCACGTAAGCTGCAGCACAAACAGCCCTGAGGCAACCTTTGGCCGCTGGCTTCAAAGGCCGCTGTTTATTAATGATGCCAACGGCAACAGTGGCCTTTTATTGAGCTCTGCTGTTTGCTCAGGGGCTCTTAAAATGCATCTAAGCCAGGGTGATTTATTCTGCTGCGACTTGGCTGAAGCATCCGCAGTTTCTCTGGTTTATTGTGAAGTTCCAGCGCAGTGACACTGGGTGTTCATAGCAGAGCTGCTCGGAAAGGCTCTGCGTGTTTCAAAACCCAGCAGCTCCCCACCCATCCTGTCTGCATCACCGTTTCTCCCACTCCTGTAATCCTCCCCAGTTGGTCTTTGCCCTGTTCTCCATAGAAGTAGAGATGAATTCCTCTTTTCTTTTGAAATAAATCCCCGGGGCTGTGAGCCGTTCAGCTTCCAGTCTCCATCCTGTTGTGTTGCCCTCCTGTTCCTGTTGCTGGAAGGAGGCAACCTGCGAGCTGCTGCTTGGGTTGTGAGTGGTGCTGAGTTGATGGCGTGGCAGTGATGGGTTGATGGTTGGACTGGTGGATCTTAGTGGCCTTTTCCAGCCTTTATGACTCTATGCATGGGAGAAAGGAGGCTGAAATCCACGTAATGCAGAGTCCAGGAGGTGCATCCAGCAGGAGATGTGCACCTGGCCGAGGTGAGAATGGTTTGGATGAGCCAAAATGCTGGTTTAAATGGTAGAAAGTGAGCAGCAGAAACCAGGCACAGCAGCCTTACTCCTCAGCTTGCTTCGAGGCCTCATCCTAAAGCCTGCTGCCCAACAAAAATGTTCCAAGGGGTCTCCAAAGACAGGTTGGGATAAGAGGTGGCTGACGGCTCCCAGAGGGATTTGGGGGAGAGAATGAGAACGGTGCCAGAGGGCCAAAGCTGTTGGACTTGCTGTTGATGCTGGGCTTCCCTGGGGGCTGTGGAGGTGCAACGAGGAAGGAATAAGAATTATCCAACCCCAACGTGTGACAGCTTTGCTCTGTTTTATGGGTAAAAGGCAGTGCCAAAATGAATCCCAGTGGTGCTTACAGGGATGGCGACTGAAATGTGGAGTCGGGAAGGCTGCAGTGGGGTTTGGTGAGGAGCAGGGCTGCTTTTGGGACCTGCAGCATCACGTGGGCTCCGTCAGTGTGAGAGCCGTGTGCGCTGAGATCCCACTTCACTCGCACAAAGATCAGCGCCGTGGGGCTCAGCACAGCTCTGCCCATCCCTGTGGGTTGGGAGTCCCATAGGCAGGCTTTGCAGCCTCCATCCCTCCTTCTGCAGGCACCGAGCCACAATTTGGGGCAACGCTGGTGCAAATTCTCTCCCTGTTTCCCCATCACAGCACGGGCAGAGCTTGGGGTGATCCGGGTGACCCCAAACTCGCTGCAGCCTTCCTTCCCCATCCCCGGCTGAGGCTTTGTTTACTGCCACCAGCTCAGTGCAGGGAGGGAAGGTTATATTTAACATCCTGCCTGGGACGGGGCTGTAAATGAGCCCTGAAATGGCCACTTGTGGGGCTGTACAAAAATACACCGGAGCCAGACGGCTGCGCTCGCTCTGCTGATGCAAGGCTGGGCGCTGCGGGGCCGCCGACCCCAGGGCAGGGAAACGCTGCTCAGAAACCCTCCGTGGTGCCCCGCCGCCCTGGGTTCAAATAAGCTGCAATTTTCATTCCAAACCCATAATGTTGGCTTGCACACAGGGCAGCTTTCCCCGCTCCGGGGCCTCACGTTCCTCTTGTTTGTGCCCTCCCCAGCCTTGCCCTGGGCTGTGGGGCAGAAGACGCTGCTCCAGATACCCAAAAATTACAAAGATTTGTTCACCGAAACTGGGGGATTGAGGGGTGTTTGGTTGCAAACCCTGCTTTGCCCCTGGGCTGGGCAGCGTTTGTCCTCGTTCCTGGAACGATGCTGGTTTTAGCAGAAGGGGAAAACCCAGAGAAAAGCGGTCAAACCAAAACCCAGCTGTAAGGCAGAACGCAGAGGCAGGGCTGCGGAGGCAGGTGCTGGAGGCTCTGCCATCAGCTTCTCCTGAATTCATTTCCCCAGATGCGTTTACACATCTGTGAGGTGAGAGGAGGGTGAAACCTGGCTGTTTACATCTCCGTTTGGAAAGCAGCCTCTAATTGCACCCTCACGGGTCTGCAGCCCAGGAGCACCGTGTGTATTTATACCCTAGAGGCACAGCCCTGGCGCTGCTCCTGGCCTGGAGATCCCTGTCCTGTGCCCACGGAGCTCAGGACCGCGTCCACTTGGCATTGCAAGAGCATTTTATCACTGCTCCTCCTTGCAGGACTCCATATGGGGGCGTTAATTTCAGGCGGTTTGGTTTCTCACTGTTGTACTCCAGCTGTGTCTCGGTGCTGCTCTCTTTCCATGTGCTTTTCTGCTTTGTTTGCCCTTCTGATCACTTCATTTCCAGCCCAGGGGTTCAGTTTGCCTCCATTCAAACTCACATCTTCATTTAAAATGAGTGCTGTGTGTAGAAATGCACGTAAAGATAAGCCTTGCTCGCCGATGGAAGATCATCGAGTCGCTTTCTCCAAAGCAGAGATGTGGCATCGCCGAAACCACCCTGAATGGCCAAACTCAGTTGTCCTGCAGTGTGTCATTAGTGGATATCAGGAGCTTGTAGCTGGGACCTGTGGCTTTGACCCTTTGTACTTGGAAGCTTTGCAGTCCTGATCGTAGCAGCGGATTAACGTGGCACGGTGTGGTTTTGGTGGAAAAGAGGTTATTATGTTGAGTGTTGTTTCTCTCATGTCCTGCAGTGAGGTTTTTCTCGTGCACATGCAAGCATGCACTCCAGCCAGTTATTCTAGCAAAGCCAGGCTTTAAAGGCTGGTAAATGTTTAATAAGGCCGCTTTAGTACATGCTGCTGTGTCCTCTGGTTTCTCTGTCCCTGGATGGACATTTCTCTACCGTTCCACCTCCTCCTCTTGGGCTTCAAAACAGCGTGAAACCAGAAAGCCGTTTCAGTGGTGCTGAGCCCGCAGGCTGTGTCCTTTTGAGGGCACCTTTGCCATGCTGTCCAAACCTGGAAGATCAAACCCAAATGTGCATGCACGCAGCTGCGGCCTTCCAAGTTGAGCCTTTCCAAGAGCCCAGCTGAGCTGCTGGGTGTCAGGTCAGTCGTTCCCTCTCTCAGCAGCCTTTCTCCAGCAGTTTTGCTGTCCAGACACTTGGATCTGCGCTCCTGCTGCTTGGAGCATCCCTCGTGCACTGCAAACAGCGCTGTGTGACCCAGGGTGTGTTGTTGATTTTTTTTTTGTCCCCTCTTTTTCCTCTGCAGGAGAAGCATGAAGAGGAAAGCGATGTTCACCTGTCCGTTCAACGGGGACTGCAAAATCACCAAGGACAACCGGCGGCACTGCCAGGCCTGCCGGCTGAAACGCTGCGTGGACATCGGGATGATGAAGGAGTGTGAGTACGCTGGGTGTGCAGGGCTCAGCCTCGCGGCCTTGGCGCCCTTCTTCTTCAAACCTCTGTGCTCAAGGCTTTAAAACCCGCACGAGGATTCGAAGAGGATGCAGAGGGCAGGGGGACGGCGTGGGTAATGATTGCACGGGGCTCATTTAATGATTGAGGCGTTCATGAGCTGGCTTTGCTGGCAGCTGCACGGTGAGCACATCCGGGGCTGTTGCTGATTAACTCACGGATGGAGCCCATTCACGTCCTGTCCTGTGCAAAGTCATCGTCCTCCCGCAGCACGTGGCCGAGCAGGCAGGGAGAGCTGGAGAGCCTCCGAGTGCTGATGCTGAGGGATGGGGAGCTGCACTCGCAGCCGTTCCACCTTTTACTCTGCAATAGCTTTATTTCAGGCCCCTGGTCCTGCAGCAGGGTCCGTCCGTCCCGCCACGTGCAACGCAGAGACTTAAACAAATAGCAGAGGGAAGTAAAGCACTTTTTAACCCAATCTAAACAGGTTAATGTTGTCCAAATATTTGGGTTTTTTTTTCCGACTGTATTTATAGATAAGCAGCTTTTAAAAATAAAAGCTGCTTGGCACGTTTCCTCCTACACACGCGTGCTTTCTATGCCCCGAGACTTCAGGAGTTTAAACCAAAATAACAGCCCTCTGCTAGGAGACTGCAAACAGGACAGCCTGTCCCATGATTGATGGGCTTGAAAATTCAGAGCTGGCTTGGCAAATGGAAGTGCTGAACGTTTCCTTATGTGCTGAGCGGAGAACAAACAGCGCCCGGTGGCACGGGGTGCAGATCTGCAAACCAGAACTTGCAAAGAACTTGAAGAAAAATAATGCCTAAACGTTCAGGAGCCCCGGAGATCAAACAGATCTTGAGGAATAGGAGGCCCCCAAATCGTGTAAAGTGCCAGCTGTGCTCTGTAGGGGGGTAGGAAAGCAAAGAGCAGGCAATGCACCAGGTGAATCCTTCTATTGTGAGAGCACAGGGATGGTGAGGAAGCAAACCGGAGCAGGTCTGCATCCCATGTTCTGCCCTGCAGAAACAGCTGCTCCCTTTGGTTTAATGCTTGGACACAGCAAAGGGCCAGAGCTGCTCCGTGTAGTTGTGGGAAGCACTGCACAAAGCACAGCTTTGGTGTTCTGCTGCTTTGGCATTTGTTGTCACACCTGATTTCTTGGTTGGAACAGCACTGTTAGGCACTTTCTGCTCCCAAACCCGGCTCTGAGGTGTTCCCAGAGCAGCAGGAGAGCCGTCCTCGTTGATGGCGTGTTTACACTGTGGATCTTATCTCACTCAGAGGGAGGAAAAGCACTGAGCTGATTGAAAAGGAGAGCGCTGAAATGCCCCAGCGCACGAGGCTGCCTGGCTGGGAGCCTCCAGCCCTGGTTACTGCAGTTTGTTTGGCATCACCGTTGCCAACAAGGGAAATGTGTTGACTTGTAGCAGTCAATTACCCAGGGAGGGTCAGAAAATGCACTGAGGGATTCGCCTGCCCGCCTCAGGGTTAACTTGTAAGCGACCCCCCTTAGCAAACGGATTCTGTATTAATGAAACCTAACCGAGGAGCCTAAAAATAGCCTTCCTGCAGCCTCTGCTGCTGCTTCAGTGAATGGGAACAAGGTGTGCTGCTGTTATTTTTAGGTGGCATCGGGGATCTTTGAACTCTTGGGGTGGGCTCGTGTCTTCCCCGGGCTGCGGTTGCTGGCACGGGTAGGGATGGGCTTGGTTTGATGGGTCCGAAGCAGAAATTAGAGCAAAACTGGATAAGGAGGAGGAGGCAGATGTGGACGCTCTTTGTGCTTGCGTTAATTTGAGGTCTGGTGCAGGCAGCTCCGTCTCCTCCTCCTGTCCTACGTCTTGGGTGGCTTTCAGCGTTGCCCCCAGCCACGTCTGCACGGCTCCAGGCTCGGTGCTGCAGTGAGGGGCTCTCAAGAAGGTGAAGGCTTTGTGTGTGTTGAAAATGGCAGAGCAGAAGCCTTGCCCTGCTGCGCTCCCTGGGGAGCTGAGGACAGCCGCTGTCCCCACGAGGGACCAAGGAAGGGATGAGTTGCAGCCATAGGAACACGCTGAGCCCAGCAGTGAGGGTCAGGGCCGGGGGCTGATCCACAGCTGCAATCTGCCAGCAGCGTTAGCAAATATTTGTGGTTTTCCACCCATCTTATCTGCGTGGGGTAAAGCACAGGGCAAGCTTAGGGGACAGCGTCAGGCCACGGGCGAAGGCGAAAGCTGCGTCGTTTGGAAATGTTTTCGGGCTGTTTCCTTTTAGATGGCCCAAGCAATGCTGAGCTCATTCCTTCCATCCCGCAAAATTGCCTCCCGCCAGCTGCGTGGTGCTCCAGAAGGGGCACCCATCCCTCCAGGGCCGTGCGTTACCTGTGGGTAATTCACCTCTCTTGGCCTCGCTGCCCTCTCTTTCCCTTGCTTTTATCAGCTCTGCAGTCATTACAGCACACGTGGGCTGGGGATGTGCTTCCCCTTGGCTGCCCTGTGCTGCGGTGCAAAGCAGGGAGGCAGAAAACACGGCGCTGAATTGAGCGGCCAAAGCAGCCTCACTGCATCTCTCCCTGCTATGCTACTGCTGGGGGATTTTGGGTGCCTGTCACGGTGCCAGGATCGAGGAGCCTCCTTGGGAGGATCCAGCTGTGCTTGCAGTGTCCTGCTGCAGTTTGTCTGCCTGTGGATGGATTGCAGAGCGTTATGCGGGAGCTGGGATGTGGGGGAAGCGAAGGCAGAGCTGTGGGAGAGGCAGTGGGGAGGAATTAGGTTTGCACCCTGTGAAGGCTGCGTCTCGTGAGAATGGCTGCAGAGCGATCTTGGGCGCTTTTGGCAATGCAGCGGGGTCGCAACGCCCTGCAGGGCTCTTTGAGGATGATTCCTGCCCTGATGCCTTGTGGCACATTAAACACACACTGTGCTGCCCAGCCCTCACCCTGCGGATCACTGCATGGCTTCATTCACTGCAGAGCTGCTGCCGCAGGGGCAGTTCTGCTTCCCCCCATCCTCAATGCCACTCCCTGGGGATGGAAAGGAACCCACGGGGCTTTCTGGGGCTGCGTGGTGTCCCCACGTCCAGCTGAAATGCTGCCTGCCAAGCTTTGATGCAGTGCCTGAGTGCCATCCAGGGAGCAGTCTCACACTGATATTTGCTCTGTTTCGTTTCGGTTGGTGTTCGGCTGCCCTTTGCTCTCCCAATGGCGCACGTCTCCCTCCATGCCATCCCCAGCACCTCCAGCTCCCCGCTTTGGCCGAGGCTGTGTGCTCAGATCCTCACCCACCAGCCGTTTCCTCGTGCTCTCAGTAACCTCAGAGCAGCCCTGCGGCTTTCTCCTCTGTCCCTGTGGTGTCTGCAGAGGTCGGTTCTGTGTCTGAACAGAAGTGATGTGCACATGTTGGCTTCTCCTCCTCCCGTGCTTCGGGTCAGGGCAGCCCACAGCCATTCCGCTGCAGCTCTGTTTGTGCCAGGAGCTGTGAGCACAGCTCCAGCTCGGCTCTGGGGAAGGGAGCAGCCCTGGGATCTGATCTCAAGCTGAAGATGCAGGCTGGGGCGCGTTGGCCCCATCCATCCTTCCGTGTGCACGAGGTGAGTGCAGACGAAGCCTTTTTTCCCAGGAATTTTATAAAGCCCGTCAGTCCTGCGCTGACGTTGTGCTGTTACCATTTCTCACCCCAAAGCTTCAGCTCTGCTGCTCCCCGTTGGCTGAGCTGGTGCCGGGCTCTGTTGGGGCTCGCACAGCACCGCCTCTGTTTGCAAGATGAGCTGGAAGGGAATTGCGATTGCGTTTATCGCGTCGTTCTGATCTTTAAAACACCTTCGATCTGCCTGCGGGGCTTCCTTCGGGTTTTAGACTCCTGTAGGCTCTGGCAAGTCCCATCAGAGCATTCAGCACCGACCCAAATCCCTGGCGGTGGTTTTGCAATGGGTTCAGAGCAACGTGCAGCCCGCACCACAGTCTGCCAGGCCTCAAAGCGCTGAAACCCCGGGACAAATAAAGAAAGATGCTTTGTTGTGCAGATCCCATACAGGGAAATCCATCTGCCTTAGGGGATTTGACCAGGGGTCGGTGCATGCGCTCTTCCTCCCATCCCAACTCCTCTTCCTCACTTTCCTCCGTGCTGGGGTGGCTGAGGAGCCGCTGACCCCATCTCAGCTCTGTCCCCCTTCAGCCCCACGTGGTGCTTCCCAGTGCTGCTGCATTCCTCAGTGATTTCTCCTTGCATGCAGCTCCTGGATGGATCCCAAGCTTTCCTAATAGGACAGGAGATGGCGAATTCCCCGTTTCGCCTGGGCTGCCCCCTGCAGCACTGACCGTTCCGTGCCGGTCACAGGAGCGACCTTTTGGCCTCAGCCGCTCATTCAGTACCTCCAGATCTTTAAATCCCCCCCCGAGGTCGTTGTGCAAGTTTGAAAACGTATTGGAAAAATGCTGTTGGCAAAAGGCAGCAGAAGGGGCCAAGAAGTGCAAATGGCTCCTTGAGCCCCGCTGCCTTCGTCAGCCTCTCCTTCCAGATTCCACCCGACCGCAGGAAGCCGCCTGCCATCAGATAAAACACGCTGGGCTGCTCTGCTAATAAGTGGTTCTGGGGCTAATAGCTTCTCAATGAAGGGGCACTGCTATTTATAGGACCCAACAGTGGATGTGCTTTGCTGATTGGGAGCGTTAACGAGCCGTTGGGTGCAAAGGTGGGTGCTTGTTGTTGCTTTTCCAACCTTGTGAGGCTCTTCAGGTCTTTAGGTTCTTTATAAGGGTCACATTGGAGCCCGAATTGCCTTTGGATGTTCAAACATCCCTAATAAACGGGAGAAGCTTTGCTCGTCGCCTTTGGACTCGACCTTTGGCTGCTGCTGAAGGCTGTTGCTCATAATACAAGCAATAAATGGGTATATTACAGAACAATTGAGGTTGGAAGAGGTCGCTAGGATCATCTGGTCCAGCCACCACCCATCCCCACCGTGTTTGTGTGTCCCCTCAGCTGAAAAACAACTGTGATCCTGCTGCCCACCGCACTGCGCTCCCCCTGTTGTCGGAGCTGAGAGCAGTGTGCACGAACCCATCGGCCCACATCTTGAAATTCCTTTCACCCGAAAGCACAGAGCAAACAGTGAGGTCTGGAGCAAAGCCGTGGCGGTGCTGACGTGACCTGACTGCACCCAACGGCACCCAAATGGGCCATAAATGGTGCATAGCAGGGAGCCGTGAGCCAGCAGGCGAGGACAGGAGCGGGTTCAGTAATAGGGTCGATGCAGGTTCAGTGACCCATTAGCAACGCTGAGGGATGCTGCTTGGCTGCAGCACACCTGAGGCGCTTCGGTGCCGGTTTCCCAGTGCCTGTTTGCGACCCTTCGCTCTTTCCTTCCATCCCTGCAGTCATCCTGACGGATGAGGAGGTGCAGAGGAAGCGTGAGATGATCCTGAAGCGCAAAGAGGAGGAAGCGCTGAAGGAGAGCCTGAAGCCCAAGCTGTCGGAGGAGCAGCAGAAAGTCATTGACATCCTCCTCGAGGCCCACCACAAAACTTTTGACACCACTTACTCCGACTTCAACAAGTTTCGGGTACGTTGGGGGGCACGACAGCCCCGATTCCCACCTCAGCACCAGCAGCTCCAAGAAACTTCATCAGTTTCATCCTAATAAAACCCGGTGCAAATATCTCGGTGCTCCCCTCAAGCTTGTTCTCCCAGCCCCATTCCTCTCACCTCGCTCTCTCTTCCAGCCCCCTGTGAGAAGCAAAGTCAGCAGCAATACAGCAACGCAATCCTCCTGTGTCGTGTCCCAGGATTTCTCCTCGGAGGACCCCAATGATGTTTTTGGCTCTGATGCCTTCGGTGCATTCCCAGGTACTGGACTCAGCTCTCTGTGTGGCATTTCAGGCATCCTTATGCTATGGAAGCAAAAGGGGAAGAGATTTTTCTAAGCTTGGCCAAGAACGAAATAGTTGTCTCAGCTCTCCTAGGGAATGCATTTGACTCTAAGAGCCTCCTGAGGGTGTTCAGAAGGCTCCTGATGAGCTGAGAGCATGAAGTGCTTGGCTGCATCGGGACCATGAGCTGGGTTGCCGCTGCTCTGCCTGCAGTTAGACCTAAACTAAAAATCCCACAGCTGGTGTGACCAAAGCGCTCTCCCAGCCCAAGACAAAGACCTCCCAGCACAACAGGCACCATCCCTGCTTCGGGCTGACACCCCTCCCTGTTACATCTCACCCCCATGGACCACCTCCCTCTTTCCAGAGCCCATGGAGCCCCCGATGTTTTCCAACCTGGATCTTTCCGAGGAGAGCGATGAGACCCCCTCCATGAGCATCGAGCTGCCCCAGCTCCCCATGCTCCCACACTTGGCTGACCTGGTCAGCTACAGCATACAGAAGGTGATCGGCTTCGCCAAAATGATCCCCGGATTCAGGTGAGATGTTGTCCCCACGCCAGGTACCCACGATGGTTTTCTGCTCCCGGCAATTCAGTCCCAGCTTCCACAGTCATTTTTCTCCACTTCTCTCTGCCCCCTTCCCAGCTCTGTTCTCACCTTCTTGTTCTCCCTCCCTCTCCTTTCCTGGGGTTATTCCTCTTTAATCTTGAGCTGGATTCACCCTGGCCACATAAACAAAATGCCTGAGCTCCTCAGAAAGATGCTAAGGCCACATGAGTGCTGCTCATCTTGCTTGTGTGTCCTGAGATCCCGTTTAACACCAGCCCCGCAAGAGTCAGCCTGGAGCCCAGAGCACTGGGTGCTGCCACTCGATACACGGAGCTGCAGAAATACCCACTGCTTAATTACCCAGAAATTCAGGGTGAGGGAGAAGCCGGATCTTGCCTCTGGTTGTGGACATCTCCTCATTCCCGCCCGCAGGGATCTGAATGCAGAGGATCAGATTGCCCTGCTGAAATCCAGCGCCATTGAGGTGATCATGCTGCGCTCCAACCAGTCCTTCACCTTGGAGGACATGTCGTGGACCTGTGGAAGCAATGACTTCAAGTACAAAGTCAGCGATGTCACCCAAGGTAAAGGTGCTGCCGGGCTGAGGGCTCAAAGGTGGCGCCCCAGCCTGAAATTCAGGTGTAAGAAAACCGTACTGAGTAAACTGCAGATATTCAGGTGGATTTTAAACATCTGCCAGCACCTGGGGAAGAGCATTGGAGTAACCCTGGGATGCTGAGATCCTCAATGCAAGGCCTTGGAGTAGCCCTGGGATGCTGAGATCCTTGGTGCAAGGCCATGGAGTAGCCCTGGGTTGCTGAGATCCTTGGTGCAAAGCCTTGGAGTAGCCCTGGGTTGCTGAGATCCTTGGTGCAAAGCCTTGGAGTAGCCCTGGGTTGCTGAGATCCTTGGTGCAAGGCCTTGGAGTAACCCTGGGATGCTGAGATCCTTGGTGCAAAGCCTTGGAGTAACCCTGGGATGCTGAGATCCTTGGTGCAAGGGCAGAGATCCCCCAGTGAGATCCCAAGGAAAACAGGCAGAGCAAACAGCACATCGGGACCAGGCGTGGGACCACAGAGGGCAGGGATGGGATCTGTTTGCTGCGGGCTGTGGGCACACAAAACGTGTTTTGGTGTTTCTGCACAACGTGGCGCGGTGTGGGAGCGATAAGGAACGCAAACCCCCCGTAGGTTAATTGCCTTTCTGAAGTCATCTGCTCCATAATCTCCTGCCTTAAAGACGCTGCTGGGGAGGAAAGATTGAAAGAAATAATGTTTTTAAAGCTCTGTCAAAAATCATCCTGTGATTCTGTGATCCTGGCGCCCTGCTGCACTGAAGGAGGAGGCGCTGAGCTCCGCGCTCATCTCTCAGCTGCAGATCTGAGGTCTCACCCAGGTGCTAACAGCTCCTCTCTGTCCCCAGCCGGCCACAGCATGGAGCTCCTCGAGCCGCTCGTGAAGTTCCAGGTGGGCTTGAAGAAGCTGAACCTTCACGAGGAAGAGCACGTGCTCCTCATGGCCATCTGCATCCTGTCCCCAGGTAGGAGGACGCTCGTCCCCAAGCTCCCCACCCTGCCACGCTTTGGCAGCACGAAGGCTCCACCAATGTCCCCAAGCCTGGCAGTGCCAGGCTAACAGCCAGACTCGATGACCTCCAAGGTCTTTTCCAAGGGCTGATCTGATGATGCTGGTGTTCCCTAGATCGACCCGGCGTTCAGGACACCTCGCTGGTGGAGTCCATCCAGGACCGCCTCTCGGACATCCTGCAGACCTACATCCGCTGCAGGCACCCCCCGCCCGGCAGCCGCCTGCTGTACGCCAAGATGATCCAGAAGCTGGCCGACCTGCGCAGCCTCAACGAGGAGCACTCCAAGCAGTACCGCTGCCTCTCCTTCCAGCCCGAGCACAGCATGCAGCTCACGCCCTTGGTGCTCGAGGTCTTCGGCAACGAGATCTCCTGATTCCAGCCGTGGGTTTGAACACCCGCGTCTAAAGGGATAAGTCAGCCTTGGTCCCGAGAGGAGGGCTGTGACCCTGGGAGGAGGTTGTACATAGTTTGGTTTCACACTACTGCAGGTCCTGCTTTGTTTTCTTAGCCACAGCAGCCGAGGTTTGCTCGCTGCAGACCCAGATCTGTGCATTTCCCCCCCCCCCCCATGAGTGCTTCTTTCACTCGTCTGCAAGAGCTGACTTATCCCTTTATGGATGTTTTGAGGCTGGGCTGCCTTGAACCACTTTTTTTCTGACCAGAAACTGGGGCTGCTCGGAAGGAGAGGCTCAGGTTTTGCAGATTCATGGCACTGGGGAACCATCGATGGCATCTGTTGAACCTGAGGGACCCCTCCGCTCACCCCCAACTTGAGAAATGTGATGCTGATGGAATTGCACACCCCAGATCCATGCAGGAAAACGCTGAGGCTGCTCCTCAGAGCCCCACAGACAGCGGTGAGAGGTTGGAGAAGGGAACCACAGCCAGGAAGAGCCAGCCGGGCTGTGATGTGTGTTCCCAGCACTACTGCCACCCCGTGTCCCACATCAGCCCCACTGCTGACACAACCCTGTGAGGGTGTTGTCTGTTGTCACGTTGAGGCCAGGCGGAGCTAATTGGGCACGCTGAGGTTTCCTGTGCAATGCTGGAGCTCTGGAAGGTGCCCCATCCCCGCTGACCCCACTGAAGCCACTTCTGCAGGGTGGTGGTCCTTCAGGAGGGGTCAATGGGAGCAGCACCAGCACGAGGACGGATTTGGGGCCATGAAATGCAGAGGAGCAGCGGGAGCTGAGTGCCTTGGTGGGACCCGGGCAGCACCGCGTCTGGGGACACACAGCGGTCACGATCATGGACAGCGGGGGGTGGGGACCCTGCAGGCAGCCGGACCTGGGGACAGTGCCTGGGGATGGGCGCTGCGCGGTGGGCACAGGGGGCAGCGGGGCTCCGTCTCCGTGCAAATAAACGTGGCCTGGGAGCAGCACCGGCTGCGCTGTGGGGCTGTGTCCGTCTGTCCGGGTCCGTGTGAAGCTGCTGGGAGTGTCCGTCTGTCCGGGTTTGTGTCTGGGTGGCGCTGCTCTAGGTGTCCTTCTGTCTGTCCGTGCTGTTAAGTGTCCGCATGTCCCTCTCTCCCCATCTCCTTTCGCATCCCCGTATGCGCATGTACGCGACCACACGTATCGCTGTGTCACCCCGTATCTCCTCAGCTCCCCTCCCCGCAGCCCCGTGTCACCGTTCGCCTCCCACGTACCCCACCCCCGTGTCCCCACGTCCCCGCCCCCTCCACGTGTCCAAAACTGCGCGCTCTGCGCATGCGCGGGTGGGTCAGGGCGTGGCGAAGCCGCACATGCACAGAACGGAAGGGCGGGGCGGGCAGAGCCGGCGCACGCGCAGATCAGAAGGGCGGGGCGGGGGCCGTCAGGCGAGACGTGCGCATGCGCCGTCAAAAGGCGCTGTGGAGGCAGCGCCGCACATGCGCAGTGTTGTGGATGCAGTGCCGCGCATGCGCGGCGTCGTGGAGGCGGCACCGCGCATGCGCAGTGATGCGCGGCGCTTTGCGCGCCGTTCCCCTCATGGCCGCCGCCGTCGCCGGGAGCGGGGCCGGGTCCAAGCGGGCCCGAACGGAGCCCGTTCCGCGCATCGGCACCCACGATGGCACCTTCCACTGCGACGAGGCGCTGGCATGCTTCCTGCTGCGCCTGCTGCCGCGCTACCGGGTACGGCCGCGGCCTCCTCGGGCCCTTCTGCACTCGGACCCGGTCTTACCTTCCGAGTCCTGCCCTTCCTCAGGGTCGCCCGTGGGTCCCCCGGCCCTGCTGGAGCCCTCAGTGCCACTAAAGAATCTCCCTGGGGTCCCCAAGCCCACGTTTTCTAGTCCCCCATCCTTCTATGGGGCCGCAGTGGGGTCCTCAGCCTCCTTTTGGGGTACTCAGTCTCCGCTGGGGGCCGCTCCTGCCCTCATTTCCCTTATAACGTCTCCGGTCTCACCCACTGACCACTCTGGTATCCCCAGCCCCCTGCTGGAGTCCCCAGTCTCGCTTAGGGCCCACCTTGCGATCCCCAGGCCGTTGTCAGAATCCATGGTCCCACCTGGAGGATGCTTTCAGGTCCCCAGTCCTTCACTGGGGCCACACTGAGATCCCCAGCTCCTTGTTGAGGTCCTCCACCCCATGTGGTGCCCGCCCTTATGTCCCCATTTCCCCCTTGAGGTCCCCATTCTCCCCAGTCCCACTGTGGGCCCCCCTCAGCCTCACCCCATGCCTCAGCAGGACGCAGAGGTGGTGCGGACCCGGGACCCCCAACGCCTGGCCCAGTGCGATGTGGTGGTGGATGTGGGGGGCGAATATGACCCCGAGAGGCACCGCTATGACCATCACCAGAGGTGAGGCACTCCACCACGTTGGGGTCACCACATAAGGGAGCCCCCCGCGAGGGCTGACCCTGCAACCCCACAGGTCTTTCACCCAGTCCATGCGGAGCCTCCAGCCCAGCAAGCCCTGGACCACCAAACTGAGCAGCGCTGGGTTGGTTTATTGCCACTTTGGCTCCCAAATCCTTGCTGGGCTTCTGGGACAGCCAGAGGACAGCCCTGTTGTGACTGCACTCTACGATAAGGTACGGGGGATTTGTGACCCACCAGCATGACTTTCCCTTGTGGAAACCACCCCATAAAAGAGGGGTTGGGTTCCAGGCGTTCTGACCCCACCCTGTCCCCAAGCTCTATGAGAACTTTGTGGAGGAGATCGATGCCATCGACAACGGCATCGCACAGACGGACGGGGAGCCCCGCTACGCCCTCACCACCAACCTCAGCGCCCGCGTGGGGCACCTGAACCCCCGCTGGAACGACCCCGACCAGGACACTGAGGTGGGGACACGTGGGAAAGGGGGAACGCAGAGCTGCATTCTTTGGGGTCACTGCTGATCTTCTGCTGCATCCCCAGGCTGGGTTTAAGCGGGCAGTGGAGCTGGTGGGCAGTGAGTTCATGGACAGGCTCGACTATTATCACCGTGCCTGGCTGCCTGCGCGGGCGCTCGTGGAGGACGCCATCCGGCGCCGCTTTGAGGTGCTCCCTGTGCTTGTTTTGGGGGGGTTTAAAGGGTGGGTGGAAGCCTGGGGCAAGGGGAGGCCAGGTCCCCTTGGTGTTGACCTCCCTGCACAGCTCAGGGCACATCTGTGCGCCCCGTTTCTCTCTCTGCACCCATACAGCCACCCTCTGTGCACCCCTGTAACACTACACTGTCACGTTGCTTCCCACCCTCCAGCACCACTCTCCGTGCACCCTGAACAAATGGTGGTGCATCCCCACAGCGCAGGGTCTCATTGGGAGGGGGGGGCTGTGCTATTCAGATGGTAAAAAGCGCACAAAGGGGGGAGAAGCTGAGGCGCAGGGCAGTGCTGGGGCACAGGGCAGGACCTCACGTGCCACCATGCAGCCGCATCGCGTTCCCTCTGCAGGTGGACACAAGCGGGGTGATGCTGGAGCTCCCGCAGGGCGGCTGCCCCTGGAAGGAGCACCTCTTCAGCCTGGAGAAGGAGCTGGCGCTGCCCAACCCGCTCCAGCTGGTGCTTTTCCCCGACCGCAGCGGGCAGTGGCGGGTGCAGAGCGTCCCGGTGGGGCCACGCAGCTTCGAGAGCCGGTGAGCCCTGTCCCCAGCGCATCCCCTGCCAGGAGGGGACAGGATCTCAACCCCTTGCCCCTTTTCCCACCATCGCAGCCTCCCTCTCCCCGAGCCATGGCGGGGTGTTCGTGACGAGGCGCTGTCTCAGCTCGCCGGCATCCCCGGCTGTGTCTTCGTGCACTCCAGTGGCTTCATCGGAGGCAACCGTACGCGGGAGGGGGCTTTGGAGATGGCCCGGAGGACGTTGGCATTGCAGGGGGTGGGAGCACAAAGCGGATGAGTTCCCCACCCCCCAATGAGTTGCCTGTGCTGGGACTTCGCATGGACTGTTGGCACGGTCACAGCAGGACACCAAAGCAGCTGTGAGCTGCCACTGGTCCCAGTTACAGCGTTGGACCGGTCCGAAAGCACGGAGCAGACCGAGAGGCTTTTAAGGATTCAGTGCTCTGAAGCCTGGCCTGTTATGTACTGGCTGCCAACACCAGTAAAAAACCAGTGCATTCCCAATGCATCTGCTGGTCAGGTAGTGGGAGCTGCTTTGGAGGTGTCCTGGGGCACAGGGGGGCACATGGGGTTCCAAAAGGTCACACGCTGGGGTGCAAAAGCAGGTGCAGCCTCAGCATCCCCAGCACTCTGTTGTTGGTTTGGGGGTTGGACTCGATGATCTCTGGAGGTCCCTTCCAACCCCTACAATTCTGTGATTCCCTCCATCCCAGCTGCCCCTGGGAGGGGAACGTCACCAGCCCAGCTGTCCTGGGGAGGACACAGACCCCCCCCCTCGCTCCCCGCCTCCCGCTGCAGGGCAATGCGGGCAGCCTGGCTGTTCCTGCTGGCTCTGGGGCTGCCCTGCTGCCCCCAAGGCCGCCGCTGCCCTTTGGGGGGTCCCCAGGGCCTTCCCCCCACCGCCGGCGGCCGCAACGAAACCCTGGCAGGGAGCGGGCAGCCACGGGTGCCAGATGTGGCCATGCTGGTGGCTGTGGGTGGGTGGCTCGGCGCCGTCCTCGCCTACGTGGGACACTACGTGAGGAGGAGCCGCGCCGAGACCCGCCTGCACCTCGAGTACCTGCGGGCGCTGCCCTGCCGGCGGCTGAGCCCCGGGGAGGAGGAGCCGCTCAGCGCCGTCCTGTGACACCACGGACACCACAGGGGCAGAAGTTCCCAGCAGCAGATCCAAACCGGGGATCCCCGCGGGCGAAGCATCCCTCGACGTCTCCGGTGTGAGTTGTTTACCCCACGTCTTCGTTGGGCTGCTGCCGTCTTTTCCGTGGGGCGGAGGGGCAGTTTCCCTGCCTCGTTTCGGGGTTTGGTTTTCAGGAGGGTTGTGTGGGTCCTAGGGGTGGTGGCAGTGTGGGCTGAGCAGGGCCCTCCCTCCCCGTTTCCTCTGCGGAGCGATTACAGCGTAATCCCAGGGATTAACCACGTGTAATCCAGGGCTTTAAGCACTGCCCCCCTCAGCCTCCCCTTAATCCCACTCCGGCCCATCTGCTCCCCCCAGCGCTGTCAGGGCTCACGTGGGGCTGCAGCAGCTCTCACTGAATGGGCTGGGAGGGGAAGGTCTGTGCTGTGCTGGGTCTCACTGAGCTGCAGCACTTCTGGTGGTTCCTTACGCCCTCAAGGTGAAGCCCAAAGGCTGCATTTAAGGCCAAGGAACCCTCACAGCCCCTTCGGCCCTCAGTGCAGCCACGTAACCACAGAGCAAAACCCCACGCTCATTGGGGGCTCCCCAGGTGTTTGTTGCACACAAATGTAGCAGCAGGAACCTCAGATCTGCTTTGGTGTAGGCACAGAATGGCTCTTCTCCTGCAGGTGCACTCCAAACCATGACCTGACATCACAGAGCAGCACCAGAGCCCCAGAAACAAACCCGAGTGGCTTTGAGAACGCATCCCCCCAACAAACTTCCAGGGAACGTTTCCTTGTTTTCCCTGGACAAGGACAGAGCGAGGAGCAGAGCCAGGCGTGGGGAGGAGGAGCCACCTTTAATCTGCACGGCGCTCGACGGCTGAACCCCACATTCCACAGAATTGAGAGCACGGAGCCGTGCAGAACCTGCAGGGGTACAGGAAGGGACCACAGCCCCGCGGTGTCCCGGGGAACAGGGAACAGACCCCAAATGTCCTGAGCTGCTGTCAGAGCTCTGAGAAGAGCGGCTGCTCCCGCACGCTGCTGCTGGCCGTCACCACGGCGGGGCTGCGGCCGGGGCTGCCGTAGGGCAGGCAGGAGCTCAGGAAGAAGAAGGGGATGTGGCTGATGGTCCCCGTGGACCAGCACTGGAGAGAACAACGGCGCAAACATCAGCA